TTGATTTAAGAAATATATCGATTTAATAAATCTTTCCAACATTAAATTAAACATGAATTTTTGATTTAATATTGAATGCACTTTCATTAATGTTCCTGTACTTGTGATAATGGAGAGAACGAAACTAATTGTATCAATATTTCGGTTTGTGAACTAAAATCCAATATAAGAGGCTATTACTGATAGTTTTAAAAAGCAAAAATTAAAAATATGTGGTGAGTCTAAAAAATGATCCTGATATGCATTCACGTTGAGAAGCCTATAGAGAAACTTATCATATAGTATGCGAATACAATGAATAAATTGCAAGTTTAAATAGATTAAGCAATCATGAAAACATTTTTATATAAAAAAATGCAAAGAATCACTTAGATTTAATTGAACAAGTCATTAAAAATCAATCCAAACAATGCACTTTCATTAAAATGACTACAACCACCATAATTTCACCCTCTCTACAAATTGTGAATTAACATAATAAAATATTGCATCCCGTTTATTCAAAAATCCTTCATCCACTAACACTTTTAATATCTTAGTAAACAATGCAGCTACTTGTTGAATACTAGGTTTAGAATTAGAATTCTAAAAATATCAAATATTAAAAAAAATATTTAATTGTTAATTGCAATAAAATACATACATAATTATCATTTTACAATATTACGCTTACCAAATTGGCCACTACATTTGTAGCCAGTTCATATAATATAGTAGACTGTCTTATCCTCACTATACTAAATCTAATTAAGTTGTTTTTATAAATATATTGCATAAGTGAATTGATAAACTTATCTTCTGTTAGTTGCGAAGATTGATCTTCCAAAATGTTCATTCTTTCAAACAGTTCGGGAATTGATATTTCCATGTCTTCATCCGATTTTTTCTCTGATATCAATATTATAAGTGGTGTATCCTATTTAAATATTTATAACATTAACTCATAAATACGTGCCAAAGAAACCATTTTTTGTTTTTTTGAAAAAAAAAACTCAATATCGCTATCATCATCAATCAATTTCACATAGTCTTTATTCGCCTATTTGAATATTTACATGCAAATTATTAACTTGTAAATATATATATGTGTCAAAAAAAATTTTTTTTTTTATTACAAATTATCTCTTTATCACTAATATCATCAATCAATTCTACATAGTTTTTATTCACCTATTTGAATATTTATATTCAAATTATTAACTTGTAAATATATATATGTATCAAAAAAAAATTTTTTTTTATTACAAATTACCTCTTTATCACTAACATCATCAATCAATTCCACATAGTCTTCATTCGCCTATTTGAATATTTATATGCAAATTATTAACTTGTAAATATATATATGTGTCAAAAAAAATATTTTTTTTTTATTACAAATTACCTCTTTATCATTAA